TTATAAGAGACTTGAACCGAACTTATATAAGTGATGTAGCTTATATAAGTTTATTATTTAAGTGATATATATACTAGCTTATTTAAGTGATATGGCTTAGCTTATGGCCCGTTCTTCTATAGTTACTAGCTATGATCACAAAATTATCACCAGCACACACTTTCCAAGTTTCTAGACAATATGATTTCTCTGAGAACTATTTTTTATCAAATATGAATCATTTTTTTGAAATTTCTAATGTTTAATCCATCGATCCGTTCGTTCCAGAGAATAATCTCCATAATTAACCTTAATTTCATGTGTCATTCATCACATTTTCAAACGGACCCTAAACCACCGTGTAAGACTGTCATGTTGGGGCGAGGGGGACAATTTTAGATATTCATTAATTAAGACTAAATATCATGTAACGACAAATTGAATTGTAAATGCGTATATGTCCATGAGATATCCTAGTACGAATCTTAATCTTTGTGGCTTTATTCCAAGCTCCCCCTCTCCCATCTAATTAATATGATCTTTTGCCATATGTTTTATCAAAAGCGATGGATAACTAATATAAAAGGGCAATAGATATCATTCCATACTTTTTTCTTTTACAAAGCATCCACAAAAGCTCCAGCACAAGTGGTGAAACTCTATGTTAGTCCAACTCCATCCAATACAATTTTTTTTCCATACATCCCATTTTCTTGCTTAGCAGTACATCAGTAGTCATTTTCATTATTATCGCCATCGATTTCGCTACCACTCCGTACAACTTTGCCTTAAATCGTTGACTTGTCCGTCAAAATAACTCAGAAAGTCAGAATTAACAAAAAGAAAATTCATCAAACCATGTAAATCCACCATGTTTGAGTTATCATTTTCTCCGGACCATTAACGTGAATTGTATTTGATTACCACGATAAAAATAACATTTTAAAAAAATCATCTTCACAAATAGCTTGGAATGAGCGGTTTAGTCAATGCAATAGAAAAAAGGTTATTTTAGAAATCATATATTTAGAAGCATGGAGCAAATAACCAGTGGCAAGAATGCAGGGAAAAAATTCTAAAAAGAACATGGTCATAAAGCTGAAAATTAAGGACCGAGAAAACAATCTACATATGCATTGTTTTTTTAATTCTTGTTAGCTTATTGTTAACGATAAAATTTGGTAAGTCCGGAGTAATCATCGACTTAGAGTCAGTATCGGTTTCAGAGTCCTAAAATCGGCCGATGGAAGTTATCAAGTCGCCAATAGTCGGATTTCTGCTATATTCGGTTAAGGAAATTAATCTACTAAAGGAAGGTTATCCATAAGCGACCGAGTTTAACGAGGATGCGACATGACAGTTTATCTATTAGTTAGGAATAGTTTGTTAGTTTCCTTTTATCTTTAGAAAAGTGTGTTTAGTGTCCGATAAGGACTTTATGTTTTCCTGTTATCTTTAGTAAAGTTTCTTTTTTTTTGTCCCACAAGGTCTAGTATCTACCCATGGGTATAAATATATACACCCGGGGTCATTGTAATTTACTCCCTCCGTCCCTAAATGTTTGACGCCGTTGACTTTTTTAAACATGTTTGATCGTTCGTCTTATTCAAAAAAATAAGTAATTATTAATTCTTTTCCTATCATTTGATTCATTGTTAAATATAATTTTATGTATATATATTTCGCAAAAGTTTTTGAATAAGACGAACGGTCAAACATATTTAAAAAAGTCAACGGCGTCAAACATTTAGGGACGGAGGGAGTATCTCTCAATCAATACTACTCTCAGCGCATCGCCACCTTCTTTTCTGATGTTTTACTTATTAACCGGCGGAATTTGGCACCTGACGCGGGGCTGCATCGGTTCAGTTCGATCTCTGGCGAAGGGGTAAGTCCTACGTTCCGTCGGCCCTAGTATATCTATCAGCTACATTGGTGTTGTTCAAGGCTGCATCGCTTCGATATCTTAGATCGCTCTGGTTTGGTTGATATATTTGCCTACATGATATCTCAATTCTATCTCTAATTGCATTGTGTTTAGAGACGCATCGGTTTAGTTGGGACTGTCTCGGTTAAGTCTGATCTTCTGTCTTAGCCAATATATCTCTACAATCACAATTCTATTATAAATAGATTTATTATATCCATCACATTAGACGGATCTATCGGCTCATCGAGTACTATATTATCATATATAATCTCGTGCTGCATCGGTTAGGTCCGACCTACTAGATTGTTGTTGATAATATAAATCTTACTAAGCTGATAGGTTCATGCTAGTGTTTTATCGGGGTGCTAGCCGATAAGTTATCTGGACATTGCATCAGCTTACAAAGATTACAAACAAGTTGGATTTAGCCGATTGCAACAAAGGTTTCACTGTTTATCTAAATCGATTGGATTTTATGACATCGAACTTTTAGCCGATGTATGCTTTAACCATCGGATCAGTACTTATCCTATCATATTAATATTATTATTATTAGTCGATTGGTTTTTATTGGATTATATTATTGTTATATTTTATTACCAGCCGATTGTCATTATATCATTATCTACATTGGACATATAACCGATTGCTCAAAACCCTATCGGCATCGGCTGAAATCGGCATCGGCTAATATCGGCTATCGGTTGGAATTACTCCATCGGCTTGTCAGGTGATTGGCTGTTTTATCTGTTGTTTACCTATCTTATCAGTTGCATGATCAAACTGACTGGTACGCCCGTATCTCATCAACCTTTGGACCTGCATTGGAGCTAAGCAGATCTCCTAGACCAGTGTGTGTTTTTTGCATCAACACTTATCAGACGTAACTCTGAATTTAAATTTTACTAGAGATGATTTTAAGGTTTTCCTATGGTAGTTTGTTTATATATTCGCTTTAATATTAAGAACGCATGTATAAAAGTTTTATAGCATGGTACAATTTTCCATGGTTTTCAGCTGAGGAGCATGTTTGGGGAGCTTTTGATTTGAGAAGCAGGTGGTTGCTAGCCAACTTCTAAAAATCTATAAAAGTTGGGTTTTCTATCTTATAGTTTATTTTCTAGATTCTACAGCTACATTTTCTTAAGACGTAAAACATAGAAAAAAACTAGATTATTTAGAGAAGCTTATGATTCTAGAAAAAACTAGAATTCTTAGAAGTTTCCTGAATATCGGAGGAGTACTACCCCTATGAAACGGACAAGGAGTCGAATAGGAAACCAACTCCTCTAAGGGCCTGTTTGGTAGAGCTCCAACTCCTAAATTTAACTCCAGGAGCTGAGTATAGAGTGGAGTTATGGAGCTGTCTAAACCCAACTCCACCTCTCTAGTTCATTTTGTGAGGGTGCTCTACCCAGTTCCGCTCTCATTTTAAGTGGAACTGAAACCGTTTGGCTATGCTTCAGCTCCACGAGAGGTAGAGCACTAGAGTTGGAGTTGTGCTAAACATGCCCTAACTTAGGGTCCCGTTTGGTAGGGCTCCAAACTTCAACTCCCAACTCTAAAGTCCAACTCCAATAGGAGCTAGCTCCTATAGGAGCTGAAGGTGGGCATGAAAGTGGTTTACTAGATTGGTCAGTTCCACGCCACCATATCCTGTATCGCTATTTCGTCAAACACCTAGTTGGTGTTCTGTGGTCTTGCCGACGTTGTCATCGCTCAGCTAAGGCTAGTCGCTGCCGAACCGCTAGCCCTAGCTGGTCAAGGGAGGATGAATTGTGGGGAAGAGAGATAGAACGAGAGGAGAAGGGGTAGTTCAATGACATATCGCGTAAACACATGAAAAAAAAATAAAGGATAGTAGGTCTTTTAGGGTGGAGTGGAGCGGGAAAAACCCAGCTCAACCCTCGTAGTATGATTTTGTGGAGCAACTCTGCTACCTCCGCTCAAAAATTGAAACACATCTCTAACTATAGGGAAGTTGGAGTTGAGAGCTAAAAATGTGTCAAACGGGCACTTAGTTTTCTCTTATTTTGAGTGGCTTGATGTGTACTCTAGATACGTTGAGTGGTACCCACCATCCCATATAAAAGGCCGTAAAAGAGACGAGAGACTGTTTGCACGTCACACTCACAAAAGCCTATCCCCACGAATACGGGTGGACAGAAAAAGATCGAACCGAAAAGACTGAGACCGAGACGAGAAATTCGGTCATCAATTCGGTACTAGGCAGTGAAAGACCGAATTTTGTTCGGTCAATTCGGTTAGTCTCTTTGGTTAACCGAATATACCGAATTAACAGAAAATGCCTAAATGTAACCTACAGTCCACTAAGTTCAATAGGATTAAACTATAACTTTCACATCCCTACTTCTTCTAGGCATGCAATCTAATAAGAGTCTTTACTCATACTTGCTTACGGATTTTCTTTTTTGTGATTTTTGTGTTGAAAATTTCCATTATTTCTTTGCACATATGAAAATAATGCTGAATTTCGGTCAGACCGAGACCAAGACCGAAAAGATCGAGACCGAATTTGTCGGTTCTAACATTTTTTGCGTTGAAATTCTGTTTTCACTTTTCAAAGACCAAAGATCGAGATCGAAAATTTCGGTCAGACCGAATGCCCACCCCTACCCAAGAAGATGAGGCGGGCGAGTGTGCGGTGCTGTGGAGTGGAGGTGGTGTTGCCTAGTGGAGTCGTGCAGAAGGAGAATAGATGGGGATTGGGATTTGGGGAGGGTTGACTAGGGTTAGAAGATATATATATACTTGTTCATTGGGCTTCAATTCTATGGGTCAAATGACGGATAAATTTTAGAATTGGTCCCTAACTCCAATGAATACATGTCACCATGGAAGATGGGAATGGGTCCCGATGGTGATGAGTTTTGAATCATTAAATTTCCCATAAATGATAGATATCAACCATCCCCATCCCTAAATATGAATTCACCGTGGGGAATCAGTGATTGGGTCCCGTTGCCGTCTCTGTACGGCAGTAGTACAAGTGAGAGGAGGTTTTTCCGGTTGAGTGGTGGTACCCACCATCCCTTATAAAAGGCCCGTAAAAGAGACAAGAGACTGTTTGCGCGTCACACTCATCACACAAACACAAGCCCCATCCCCGGGAAGACGAGGCGGTGTGTGGCACGTCACGTGCCCCACCCCCCTCCCCACCCACCCGCCTCGTCACCCACCCATCTCCAAATCCATGGCCCCCCTCCCCGCCGCCGCCACCGCCACCGCCTCCTCCGCCGCCACCCCCGCCGACGACGAGGCCCACTCCCTCCTCCCTTCCACCCCCTCCAACGAGGAGGATGACGACGACCTCGAGGAGCGCGCCTACGAGGCGACCGAGAAGGTCATCGTCTCGATCTCGGACTTCCCCGACGCCGACGACGACGAGGAGGAGTCCGGGCTCGCCACCTCCACCGCCGCCTCGGGGATCCCGCCCTTCTCGTGGAGGAAGCTGTGGCTGTTCACGGGGCCGGGGTTCCTCATGAGCATCGCGTTCCTCGACCCGGGGAACCTCGAGGGGGACCTGCAGGCCGGGGCGGTGGCCGGGGACACGCTGCTGTGGCTGCTCCTGTGGGCGACCTCCATGGGCCTCCTCGTCCAGCTGCTCGCCGCCAGGGTGGGCGTCGCCACGGGGAGGCACCTCGCCGAGCTCTGCCGCGACGAGTACCCCTCCTGGGCGCGCCGCGCGCTGTGGCTCATGGCCGAGGTCGCCATGGTCGGGGCCGACATCCAGGAGGTGATCGGCAGCGCCATCGCCATCAAGATCCTCAGCCGCGGCTTCCTCCCTCTCTGGGCCGGCGTCGTCATCACCGCCTTGGATTGGTCAGTCTTGTGAATTTTTTTTCTTTTTTGTTGGGTCGGTTTCGATTCCTGATTGGTTTGGATCTTTCGCATGGCTTTGGTGATTGTGATTGACGAGGTCTAGATCACACACCATAGTTCCAAAAGATTAGAAGTTTGCTTTTCTTTTTCCCTATCACCAACTTAACTTGAGATGCTTCCAAAAGAAAAAAAAATGCTGCTGCTTTAAGTTCTTGATACTTAGTATATTTGAGAAAAAAAAAGAAATGTGTTGTTGCTACTTGCTACTAAAGAGTTTGGGTGTGATGTTAGATCATGAGCTGGATTTGGGGGAGGTTTTGCTGTGACTGTTATAGGCTGCTGATTCGTTGTTTTCGTTTAATTTGTAGCTTCACTTTTTTGGGCGTTGGTTCAGTTCTTCTCATTTCGCTGTAAACCACAGTACTTCCTTTATTAATTTCATAATTTCGAGGATTGTTCACTTCTCTTAAAATTGGCGGCGTACGATCACTGTGTTGGAGATAACTGTACTGTATATTGATAGACTTCATATTCATGGTACCCTATAACGTAGGATGGTTGAATGCTTGAGGAATTTTAGCTTTCGCCCCAATTCATTTTACATGAACACAGTCTCAGATCTGTTTTGGCTGCGAATTCATGAGAAATGAAAAATTAATGCCCAAGTTCCAAATATGGATAATCACGGAACCTGTACCTCCGAATTTTTCATTTTCACAATTCCAAGCTGCTGATTACTCAATGATGTGATGTTTTTGGTCAATTTAACTTAATTTTGTCAGGAGAGGCTTATGATAGTTTTGGGTTTGTCCTGAAGGAATATAAAGTACCAAGTTACTGTGCTGACCTTTTCATGATGGATTGATGCTGCTGACAGCTATAGACTGTATTTTAATTTAACTCCGTACTCACTGCTTGTGCTTATGCAATTCTTTGACGGGACTTTTGGTTCTGATAAAAGTAGGACATGTTCTGTTGTTGTCCATCAAGAGTTATTTTATATATCTCGTTCTAGACCCTTGCTTTGATTAATGATATGATTCAGAAGTCTGTACAAGTGCTCACATGTTCACTAGCACTAAAAACTACTAATTGGATTAGAATATTAATCACTTGCTAGTTTCTGTGAGGATTTCTGCCTTGTGCTTTGCACGGTGCTAAGTTAGGTCTGTTTCAAAATTAGTATTCAAAGTCATGAAAATTGTGGAACTATCTTTGTTTGGACCGTCACTTACGAGATGTTTCTTTTTTTTTTTTCAGTTTCATTTTTTTGTCTCTTGAAAACTACGGGGTGAGGAAATTAGAAGCTGTATTTGCGATTCTAATTGCGACTATGGCTGTCTCCTTTGCATGGATGTTTACTGATACCAAGCCAAACATGAAGAACCTGTTCATAGGTAAAGATCCTACCGATCGGCAGCTTTTGACACTACAAAATTGTCCCACACTCTTGACCCATTGATTACGCATAATTTTGTCTGCAGGTATTTTGGTCCCAAAATTGAGCTCCAGGACAATAAGACAAGCAGTTGGGGTTGTTGGATGTGTTATCATGCCACACAATGTGTTTCTCCATTCAGCGCTTGTTCAGTCGAGAAAAATAGACCCAAACAAGGAACACCAAGTCCGTGAAGCGTTGAGATACTATTCAATAGAGTCAACCATCGCCTTGGCTGTGTCCTTCATGATAAATCTCTTTGTAACAACTGTTTTTGCGAAAGGATTTTATGGCACAAAAGAAGCTGGTAATATTGGCCTTGAAAATGCTGGACAGTATCTACAGGAGAAGTTTGGTGGAGGGTTTTTCCCTATCCTCTACATTTGGGGAATTGGACTATTAGCTGCGGGGCAGAGTAGTACCATAACGGGAACATATGCTGGACAGTTTATAATGGGTGGATTTTTGAACTTGAAGTTGAAAAAATGGATCAGGTCACTCATCACCCGAAGCTTTGCGATTGTGCCAACGATAATTGTCGCACTCTTCTTCGATAAATCGGATTCGCTGGATGTTCTAAACGAGTGGCTAAATGTGCTTCAATCAATTCAGATCCCTTTTGCCCTGATTCCGCTGATAACTTTGGTTTCCAAGGAGAAAGTTATGGGGGTATTTAAAATAGGTCGAAATACTCAAGTAAGTCGTCATTGATCTGTGATATAATGCCTGTCCTGTTCTTCAAGCATTCTGCATCCTTCATTTCATGAGATGGCTATATCTTCCATTGACAGCATAATCCAGCCATAAATAATTGTGGTAGTCAATTAATTTGGTGTTCTATTACGGAAATTATAGATCCTACTTGTGTTTCTGTCTGCTCATGATTGCACACTTCGCTGCAAGATGCCACTGCCACTGCAAAGCCTTGAGAAAAAGCCATCCCTGCATTTAGGATTTGCATTGAACATGATAGATACTAAATCAGCAATGCTGTAGGACATATCCCAGATTCCCACCTGTATCTGTCTGGGTTCTTTTAGGATCTGCATTGAACATTTTATATCTTCAAACCAGCATGCCTACGAACTATTTGACTTATTAGTTAAATGATGGCGTATTACTGCTCTAGTGACATTCTTGCTTTGATTTGCCATTGTTGAGGTGTAAAGCCGATGATGTTCTGTTCTCACTCAGTTGTGTCAAATTTATGCAGGCTGTGACCTGGACAGTGGCGACACTATTGATCACGATCAATGGCTATCTCTTGCTGGATTTCTTCTCTTCAGAAATAAGAGGCCTATTATCTGGCTCAATTCTCTGCGTGGCAGTACTTGCTTATGCTTCTTTTGTATTGTATCTCATCCTGCGGGGTACCGAGCTGCCAAATCAGATCATCACAACTATACGCAAGAGTTTTTCATGACAAAGATAACCAAAATTTGGCCGTTTTAAACACCATCATAACATCTCAAACGTATAGAGAAATATGGACTTGGGGATTGGAGGAGATACTCACTGTACAGTGACTTCCAAAAGGGTTAGCTGTTTGAGAAGAAGTGCAACTGATGTAATCTTCATTTCATTTGTTGTAACACCCTGACTGTGTCGTCCTGAAGCAAAGGAAATACAAAGAGAGATTAATGAAATGATGATCAATGTCGTTGGCAAACTTGCTCTCTTTTCTTCTGTTTTTTTTGGTTGCTTTTCTTTGGACGTGGAGAACATTTCTATCTTCACATCGTGAATTTGTGATGCATATACTTGTCTGAAATGCGATAATCCCAAATCAAGCTGATTTTGTATTGATTTTAATTTGCTGTCGGTCGGTCGGAGATGAACAGACAGGCGTCTGTTTTACAAGCATCAGAGCCCAACAATAACAGTGGGCCTGACGTACCTTGCAACTAATGCAAATGGGCCCAATAATTACAGATGGGCCGGCCCACGCTTCCATCTGGACCAAAGTACCCATCGTCTTGAACTCTCGCGGATATCTGGTGGGCCGCGACCTGGAAATGTACAAACGCGTCCCCGGGCCGCGCCCCCCTCGCTAAGCAGGGCGGTTAGCGCCTAAGTGCGACTAGTTTAGCGTGATTAGTTACAAACAAATAATAAATAAATAGTGGAATCAAAAAGTTTTAAAATTTAAGTTGAAAGTTTTAAATTTGAAATTAAAAGTTTCAAAATTTAAATTGAAAATTTCAAATTTGACTTGAAAACTTTCATAATTTAACTTTAATTTTTTAATATTGGGTAGACTTTTTAAAAATTTTTGAGATAAAGTTTTAAAAATTGAGTTGAAAGTAAATCTGATTTGAAAATTTATAAATTTGAGTTGAAAGTTTTTGTATTTGATTCAAAAGTTTTGAATTTTGAGTTAAAGTTTTGAAATTGGAGTCAAAAGTTTTTAAAATTTGAGTTGAAGTATTAAAATTTGGTTTGAAAGTTTTTAAATTTGAGTTGAAAGTTTAGGTTTTAAAACCAAGAGCATTAAAATGTTGGAAAATGAAAAAAAAAGGAATGAAAACACATGGCCACGTTGGGTCGAAAAAAAGGAAACACGACACGTGGACTAGTGGGCCAGGTGAGCCAAAAATCACTCAAAAAGGGTAACACGACACGTGGTCTGGTGGCCCGAAATGTGTGCTCGACATGGTGTACTGACGCGTGTGCGCCAAATAGGAATTTCAGTTCGTCATTGTGGTCGCTATCATTGATGGGAGTGGCGACTGGTAATTTGCTAAAAGAACCCGCATTGTCCGTACAATGGAACATACTCATCAGCGTCGTTCCCTTCGCTAACAACGGCTTACGTTGGCGACGGCAACCTCCCGTCTCAGTAATGGTGCGAGGCTAACCAGGATTAGATCTACTGTTTTATCGAAACTGCTAAATTTAACTAAAAAAAAAAGAAACCGCTAAATTAATCATATTCCATAGAAATTTGGCGTTAAATTTTTTGGGTTAATTGGATCGTGCCATTATTATTTTGGTGATTTTAAAAAATACCACTAATATTTAACTATTTGAAATCATGCCACTACAATTTAATGGGTTATTTAATATGTGCCACTAAATTTCCTATCACCGCACTAAAAATTTCTTTTGGACCAAACTGCCCATGCCGTGTTCCTTCTTCCCCTTCTCTTTCCACTCCTACCATCTCTCTCTAAGGGCCTGTTTGGGGGAGCTTTTAGCTGCTGCAGCTTCTCTCAGAATCAGAAACTCCCTCAAACAGTCCAGTTTTTTTTTTCAGATCCTGATAAGCTATAGAATTCAGAAAATAAACTAGAAGCCAAACCCAATTTTTTTAAATTCTTAGAAGCTGGCTACTAATGCTTTTCAGAATATTAAGCTCCCCTAAACAGGCCTGATCTTGTTCCTGATGCTTCTCCGGTTGAGAGGCCCGGTGGCACGAAAAGGTACGCGGAGACAGAGGCTCACAAAGGCCCAGGCACAAAAGCAGAGCTGGTGCCTGCATCGTCAAGCTCGGCCACGGGGAGCATGCAGCAGCAGCGCTGGAGGAGTTGACGGGCATTGTGCAACAACACCTGGGAATTGAGGGATCCTTGCTTTGGTGAGCATTTTCACAAACAGTTGGCGTGCAGCGGAACTGTGAAGAGATTGATTGAAAGAATAGACGGCTTGTTTGGCAACTTGAGGGAATGGGATTGGGTGTTTACACGAGGGAATTGATGGTGAGATTAAGATGAGAATTTGATTTTTCATCCCAGTACCTTGTTTAGTAGAGGTGGTGGAAATTGATAGGGAGTTTAGTTAGAGATTAGGTTATTAATGAAAACGGATGGCTGAGATTTGTTTAGGCGAAGTAAAGGACCCCCTACCCAGGTATTGAAAAGGAGGGAGTTCATTCCTTAATTCCCCATCCCCATCCCACCAAAATTTCCATGTCTCCTAACCAAACAAAATATTTAATAGCCTCATCCCTCTAAACTTCCAATCCCTCCTAAAAACTCTCCCCAACCAAACGGGCCAAGAGGAGGTGCGAAGGTGGTGTGGTGGGAGATGGTTTCCAGCCTCGTCAGTTGTGGGAGGAAGGCTTCCTCATTTGGTGGCGTGGCTACCACCTCCGCTGATGGTTTTGGTCCGGCCTCACTACCAATACCCGGGAAACCATCTCTGTCGGCCGAGCCCACGGTGAGCGTCCTCCTCGCCTTGATTGCCGCTTGGGGCTAACGTCTCCTACGCCAAGTTGATGCCCGACGGAGGAGATCGGGACGAAGAAATGTTCCTGCGTCATCCGGGTCTAGCTCCATCGATGGGAAAAGATGAATGGGAGAGGAGAGCATCTCCAACAGTCTCTCTAAATCTGACTCTCCAAATATCTATTTGGTTAATTCTCGATTTAATTAACATGTCAAATTTGTTATTTACTCCAATAGTCTCTCCATTCATCCTCTCTATTTTGAGTGTATGGCAGTGGGACCCGTATGTCAGCCTCATCTCTTTCTTCCTCATTTTCTCCCCTTTTCCCGAGAATCTACACGAGCATGGGTGAGAGCACGGCGGTGAGGTAGTCCCCCGTGGCGGCGGAGGAGGGGCAGCGTGGCCGCCGCCCATGGTGCCAAGGCTTGTGCCCCCACCGCCGCTGCGATGCTCCGCTCATCGGGCCACTCCGCTCGCCACCTCTTCCTGTCCCCGGCCCCTCCCCTATGCCCTCGTCCGTCTCCGCCTCCGCCTCGGCCCTCGCCGCCGCCACCACCACCACCACCTCCTCCAAGCACCGCCGCCCGGAGGTGCTCTCTGTCCTTCCTCGCCACCCCCTCCGCCTCCTCAGCCCTCGCTGTCGCCGCCGCCACCGCCCGAAGGTGCTCCCTATCCTTCCTCGTCAGAGGTCGATGAGGACGTCGAGGACGCGCTCTCGCTCGACGTCCGCGCGGCGGCAACGGCTCGTCCATGACCGTGGTGCGGCAGCGACGAAGATGACAGTCGTGGCGGACGGTGGCCTAGATGACGACACCGCGACGGGTGGTGGCCCAGACGTCGGCAGCGCGCTTATGGTCGGCGTGCCCTCCAGTTCGCCCCCGGCCGATGCGCTAGTGGGTGGACGGCAGAGAGAGGAAGGATGGGGTTAGGAGTGGTGGTGGGACCCACCTTTGGCCAGTGGAGGAGGCTGGCTACATTCGGCCAGCGGTGGAGCAATTTGACCATCCAGATAGAGAGTCTATTGGAGCTTGTTTTTTCTCTACGTTGGCCAAATTTTAACTTGAAGAGCCAAATTGAGATTCTGTTGGAGATGCTCTTCGGGGTGCAGGAGGAAGATATGGACAATTTTGTCAAAAATATTTTCTAAGTGCAATGAAAGGGTATATAGTGGCGCATCTCAAATACCTATTAAATTGTAATGGCATGATTTCAAATAGTTAAATAGTAGTGGTATTTTTCAAAACCGTGAAAATAATAATGGCATGGATCCAATTAACCTTTTTTTTTTTTGCAATTATGACATTGTAGGGTTTGCTTCATGCTAGGTCTCCTACTCTACATCCAATGACCCCAGTCAAACTTTGGCTATTGACAATGGTTCGGCAAGTTAGGTTTTAGGGTTCAGGGTAGGGACGGGCAAGGGAAGGGAGGTGGGTGGGATGAGGTGAGGGGAGGTAGTTCTTTAAATTAGAGGGATGGTTGTGGGAGGAGGCGGAGCGAGGAGGTGGGGGTGGCGATGGGGAGCCGTCGGAAATATGGATCAAAGACGGTGTGCCTGGACATCTCGGCGCCGCTAGCTTGAGAAGGAGGAGGGGCGGGGGAGGTCTGGTGGGGCTTGCCGTGACACCACTGGGGCAATGGTGGTGGCCTGGTGGCATAAACGAGGGAAGAAAAAAAAAACGAGAATGCTCGTTATCGAGCACTCGGGAGGGCGCAGCAAAAATTGGCCGCCGCCCTGACGCGCGTGCGCACGCCCCTAGGGGCCCCACCACGTTTTCCCTGCCACACTGCCACGTGTCCCCACCACGCACGATGTTGCAACAAATCATCCACATATTTTAGAAACCCTCTATTAAGGGAATTCGTTTTATTTTTTGTTGCAAAAAAATGTTTTACCTAGTGTACTCACAATGTTTCACTATGTATAGATCTAATGTTGCAATGAACGAAACATTCTTTTGCAACAAATCACCCACATATTTTGGAAACCCTCTATTAGAGAATTCGTTTCATTTTTTATTCCACCAAAAATGTTTCACCTAGTGTACTCACAATGTTTCACTATGTATAGATCTAATGCTGTAGGGAATTGAAATATTCTTTCGCTATTTGCTGAAACATTGTTTTTATATAAGGTGAAACAACGCTTGATTTAAATGATTGAAACATTTTCGATATATTTGGTGGAACATCGTGCAACATTTAAAAAATTCAATAATAAGCTAAAAAAAATTTCGCCGGAATATATCAATGTGTGGTCTTGTTTTGAAGATTTAATTGCAACAAATTTAATGGTGCAATCAAATCAAGATTTGGATAAGTAATTTAAGAGAAAATTAGTTTAAAGTCATTTTGCACGCATGTGTGACGCGCCCGATTTTTACACATTTGGATCGGACTACCGATCCGTAGTCCCCTCAGAAAAAAAATATGGAGGACGGGGGAGTTTATTGTGCGTAAATCTCAACACGATGGAATGGTTCAGAATTGACATGATTTTAATGTTGACGGCAGTAGCAGTCCTATTTTTTACATTACCTAAAACCTAAGCCGACGACCACTACATATTTTACTTCCATTTCCATGGATAATCAGACTAATCACACAGTGACCACCGTCCACCGGAGCACAGTACCGGCGACATGCCGGCATCCACCGCCATGTCCCCGCGCCTCCGTCTCCACCACCTCCTCCTCTCCATCCTCTCCGCTCTCCCAACCTGCCCTCTCGATCACTCCACCCCCACCTCCGCCGCCGCCGCCGCCGCCGCCACGGCGAGCCATCACCACGTCGTCACCACGCTCCCGGGCTACGACGGCGAGCTCCCGTTCCGCCTCGAGACGGGCTACGTCGCCGTCGACGAGGAGGAGCACGGCGCGGAGCTCTTCTACTACTTCGTCGAGTCCGAGTCCGGCGACCCGCGCCGCGACCCGCTCCTCCTCTGGCTCACCGGCGGCGCCCGCTGCAGCGTGCTCAGCGGCGTCTTCTTCGAGGTCGGCCCGGTGAGGCTGGCCTTGGAGCACCACCGCCCCTACGACGCCGGCGAGCTCCCGCGGCTGAGGTACCACCCCCACGGCTGGACCAAGGCGGCGAGCGTCCTCTTCGTCGACTCGCCGGTCGGCGCCGGCTGGAGCTTCTCCCGCCACCCCGACGGCTACCTCGTCGGCGACGTCTCCGCCTCGCTGCAGCTCAAGCACTTCCTCGCGAAGGTAATTAATTAATCTATACGTATACTATACACAACATGTGATATCATATATATCATATATATTAGTACTACTACATCTGTCACATAAAAATTGTATTTCTACATTTAAATCTTTATTCAAAAATTATATTTCTACTAATGTGGAACCCAGCAAATTGATTACATCAAAATATATTTCCTTCTAATCTCCATTCCTTCCAATCACTTCTCTAACTTGTTGTCTCAAAATTCCTTTTAATTAAATAAGGTTATTGTGGTCATTTATTAATTCTACGAATTTGTCCTCAATTCTCTATAAATATAATGTAATTTTTATTAGATCGGAGGTAGTAGTAGTCTTCTGGTAGACGTCTCTTTGATTTTTTTCAATTCAAACTTATTTAATTTTGTTAGGAAAAACTTATTTAAATTTAACTAAACTTATAAAGAGAATAGTAGTATTTTTAATAAAAACAAATATATTATAAAAATATTTATCCAGTGTTATATTTAATGAAACTAATTTGGTGTTCTATATGTTATTAATTTTTTTCTATAATTTAGTCAAATCTAAATAAGTTTGAAAAAAAAAGTTAAATTGACTTGGACTACGATGAAATGGTGGGAATAGTAATTAATTTTGATTTAGTCAATCGAGTTGAGATGATTAACCTGCTTAATTGGTGTGATTAATATATAGTGGATTAGTGATCATCCGGAGTATCTCGCAAATCCTTTCTACATTGGAGGTGACTCCTACGCAGGGAAGATCGTCCCATTTCTCGCGCAGAAGATCTCTGAAGGTTAATTATTTACTTAATTGCACCATTAATTACGTGCAACTAGGAGATTTTTGTTAGTTTAGTGTGCAAATTAAGCTTAATTAATCTGCGCGCTTACATTTTTTCTGACACGATCATGTGGTGTGTACGTATTCAGATATCGAAGCTGGGGTGAGGCCAATTGTTGATCTCAAGGTACGTACACCAATACTATATGGTCACCACAATACTATTTATTTAGGTACATTATTATCCACTTCTTATGTTCTAATATACTCCCTCCTCCTTTCCTAAATGTTTGACGCCGTTGATTTTTTTAAACATGTTTGATCGTTTATCTTATTCAGAAACTTTTGTGAAATGTGTAAAACTATATATATACATAAAAGTATATTTAACAATAAATCAAATGATAGGAAAATAATTAATTATTACTTAAATTTTTTTAATAAGACGAACGGTCAAATATTTTTAAAAAAATCAACGGCGTCAAATATTTTAGGATGGAGGGAGTATATATGTGCCGTTGTTGTCGATAGTTAATTTGCTAGTGGCAATATGAGAAAGACCCAGAGTCTTACTTATACTATTATATCCTAAGTTAGAGGACTAGTTAGCCTAAGACCCTGTTTAGATGAGCTATCACATTGGATATTTGGATACTAATTATAAATATTAAACGTAGACTATTAATAAAACCCATCCATAATCTTGGACTAATTCGCGAGACGAATCTATTGAGCCTAATTAATACATGATTAGCCTATGTGATGCTACAGTAAACATTCTCTAATTATAGATTAATTAGGCTTAAAAAATTTGTCTCGCAAATTAGCTTTCATTTATGTAATTAGTTTTGTAAGTAGTCTATATTTAATACTCTAAATTAGTGTCTAAATACAGAGACTAAAGTTAAGTCCCTAGATCCAAACACCACCTAAGATTCAAGCATCACCACCTCCTAATAAACATCAATATATAGAAATCCCGCATATCATATGTAGGTTTTTTTTTCTATATATGCTAATGGCAATATAACTAAGGCTGTGTTCGGGAGAGCCTGCTCCCAACTTCCCCCTCTCGTTTTCCGCGCGCACGCTTTTCAAATTGCTAAACGGTGCGATTTTTTGCTAAAAGTTTCTATATAAAAGTTGCTTAAAAAATCATATTGATCTATTTTTCTTAAAAAAAGCTAATACTTAATTAATTACGTGCTAATGGACCGTTCCGTTTTCCGTGTGCACTGTTCTGTACTGTATGCTGGCTTGCGACGCATCCTAAGTCATGTCATTTTTTTAATTACTACTCCCTTCATTTAAAGCATAAGATGTTATTTGTTATATGGACTTTTAGATGTATCATTTCACCATGGTCTTAATATAAAATTTAGTAAAAAAATACACATTATGTTTTAAGTACTCTTAATGTCAACGTAAGTCACAACAAAATAAATAATACGTATCTTTTAATAAGATGAATAGGTCAAATACCATTTCTAAAGTTCAACAAGGCCATATACATTTAAAAAAAACGAATTTATTCTCTTCTGTTTCCCGTCATATCTCTTTGTCTCCTTATAAGTTTTATAAGACAATCCGATAACCAAAAGAACTTGGCCCAATTAACCCATATGAACTCATAAGCTCATACTCATCACAAACTAAACTACCGACCCACTAACCGATCCAACTCCACCATGTCAGAATAGCACGGAGCCAATTGCGTAGAACACACACCCGTTCCATGTCTTCTATCTTCATACAACAAGCTAGAGCATGGCCATCTAATGACATCTCTTGACCGACTCTGATCTCGGAAACCGCATCCTAGTCTCCCGTTCCCTTGTAACTCATTATGATTGCTTATAATTCGCTTCCTAGCTTCACATGCACATCAAATAAAAAGAAACATCTTTCGGAAACAAGTTCTGATCACTATCTTGATCCACATTAGTCTAAACAATAACCCATTTTGCCTATTATTCATCACACATATCAAACATGATTTCATCATAAAGGTAGTATGTAGTTATATAGTGTGATCCTTCGTGATAAATTTTATTTTTGTATATATGGTCATCAATTTGTATTTTGTGATAACAAGCAGGGCTATCTAGTAGGTAATCCGGTTACAGGTGAAAGCATTGACTTCGATTCGAGAGTGCCGTATGCTCATGGAGTTGGGATCATTTCAGATCAGTTGTACGAGGTAATCAAATAATTCTTTAACACGCTATTCCAATTAATCTCGCTAATAAGCCTCACACTAATTAATCAAAGATGACCTCACTAGAAATTAACTGAACCTATGCTGACTGCTGTCTCAATGTGCCTACATGTGATTGATCTTAATTAAGACGATAATGGAGCACTGCCAAGGAGAGGATTATAGCAACCCCAAGAATGCTATTTGCCGTCAAGCTTTGGATAGGTTTAACGAAGTATGTTCCAATATTTCTTTCTATATATAATGCATATGCCAAAAATATTTTGAAATATATATAGCCCTTAGTAAATTGATGTTACTTACTCGATCTGCAGCTGCTTGGCGAAAGTTCTGGCGGACATATCTTGTACAACTATTGTATTTACGATAGTGATATAGATGGATCGATCCAGGAAAAACGAAAGATTCCACCATTTCCTCCAAGAGAATGTATTGTAAGTCAGCCTTATGTATTGGCTTCATTCATATCACTACAAGTGGCTAGATAATTGTTATATAGAGTGCATTATTGTTAACTTATCAAACATCCCTTGTAATTTATGAATCATAATCTGAGGCTAAAAGGCCATGCATGGGGATATAAGGATAAAGAAAAGGGTATGTCAATGAGAGAGAGAGAGAGAGAGAGAGAGGGGCATGATGTAGGTCTTTCACGAGAGCCAAGCTCGTTGGGTCGTGGATATAGAGTATAATTAAGCATTTTTGAAAAGAGGGCAAAAGCTTTGCCTCGTATGAACTAATAGAGCAGAGAATAGAGTCTAAGCATCAATTGAAAAGAAAGAGCTATTTGAAGAAGAAAAAAAAATGAGAGGATGAAATTACATTATTTGGACCATTTTAAACATTGTGCATTGGGTGAGCTAAGCCTAATATTAATACCAGTGACTAGGTGATGCAGTCTGGTATTGGGACTGCTCTAACATTGCATGCGCCCTTGTTCTCCGAACATACATAAACACTTGTATATCACTTCATTTCCATTTAGTATAGTTATGTGCCACTGCCACCAAAAGTTGTATATGAATATCCATTAATTCCTAATTTCTTCCAGCAACAGACATATGGCAATTATTTAATATATTTTTGGGCTAACAACAACATCACACGAGAAGCTCTTGGGATAAAGATGGTAAAATTTCATATACAACTTACTATTCGCCAGGATACATTTTGCATTAATGTTAATTCTACCTACTTATTTTATCTCTTTATGCTAACAAATAATTAGGGAAGTGTCGATGAGTGGTTAAGGTGCCACAATGGAGATCTGCCTTACTCGATGGACATCAAAAGCAACATAAAGTTTCATCACAATGTTACAACAAAAGGTTACCGTGCCTTGGTATACAGGTAGTATTGCGTACTTTTTAATACACATTTTAATTTTGTATACATATATATGAAAGTGTGTTGTTGCATTAATTATTACCGATCAATCAAAAACTATTTATGAAAGTTTTGTTACAATATATGGCCAAAAAGGTACAAATTAATGTGCCAAACACAAAGGATAGTTGATCAGAAAATGGAAACAAATTAATAATATCTTAGAAAGCAAATCATCCTTTTGAAACGAACTATAAATTCAAAAAAAAGATTGGTTGTACTTTCAATATGTTTTTTAAAAAATAAGCTCTGCCTAATTATCTTATCCTTTTGGCACTCCCCTGCATCCCTCTCTACCCTGACCCCCTTCTAAAAAGAAAAAGAAAATTATACCCCGCGTGCCAAAAAAAAAATTCGTCAAGGTGGTTCTTTGCCAAAATCAGATAAATATGCCTGCTCTAGTTTACCTGTGTACCTTTCATATGGTTAGGGTGATTCTACTGTTAATTTATAGTGTGGTTGAATGTTCAGTTTTCTAATTGATTAACCTTTCGTATTTTCATATAATGTTTATGTAAACAGTGGTGACCATGATGCAATGATACCATTTTTGGGCACACAAGCCTGGGTGAGATCACTCAACTTCTCTGTTGTAGATGACTGGAGGGCTTGGCACGTCGATGGCCAGTCAGCAGGGTAATTAAGATTCATTATATTACATGGATATAGCACTATATAGTTTGTTCATGCCTTAATTATATTGAGTTTGGCCAGTGCCTTCAGTTAATGTATGATCCTGCACTTAATATTTGGAAATATATATAACTATTGCAGGTTCACCATAACGTATATGAACAACATGACTTTCGCTACTGTAAAGGTACGTAACAATCCATCTAATATATCTATTTAATTACCTTTTGATTTGGTTCATATATACTGCTATTCCTTAAGGTTTGCAACATCTGATCGATGGCATCTCAAAATGTATTCCAAATTAATGGTCATGTCGCATATAGCACTTGTGGTGCTCCAGGGGGTTTGGAGATATCTTGTCTTACTAATTTAATTTGAAAGCCGCTCCAAAATTTGTATTTCCAAATCGATCAATAAATTGTATATAATGCATTATAGATATTTCAAATATCATCATATGTTATTCAATTTAATCGCAGGGTGGTAGCCACACAGTACCAGAGTTTGAACCAGAGAGAAGTCTCGCCATGTTCAAGCGTTGGATTTCTAATGAACCGCTTTGATGAGTAATGACTACTATCAAAAGTTCCACACATATAATGATATTGTAAAAGTTTTATTTATTATGACGTGGACAAACATCAAACATCAATTTTCTTATCCTACAGTAATAAATTTTTAGTTTCCACTGCATAGTTTCCCTCCTTATAGTAAAAAATTTAGTCCGAACCAATTAATGAATCTTGCGCATCAATTGTTGAATGCTTAAACATAACCAATAATGTCATTTCCTTTTTTTTTTTTGAAAACGATCTCCTCAGTTGGTTCGATGTAGGGCCATTAGTGGTTTCTTTCGATAATGGAAATGAAAATGTTTTAAGAAACATTGTTTGTCTGTTTTTAAGTTGATTATTGTCATACATGGGCGCAGTATGTCTGTCTCGCAGTTTACAGGCAGAATCTGTAGTTTGTTTTGTTATTAGTCTATGTTTAATACTTAAAATGTGTGTCCGTACACTTAAAAAAATTGGCTGTGGAACTAAACACGGCCTAAGTATAAGATAAAAACTAATTAACTATATTTTATTATAACAATTAGATCATTTTCGGCCCTAATTAATCATGTACTCTAACATATATTTTTTTTTGCGAGAACATATACTATAACATCTTTGTATAAAAGGAAATAAAATAATTATTAAAATTCGACCGAGCAATAATTTGGCAAGCGGTAGCATATCATAGAATTCCAACCATATGAACTCTAGTTTCTTTTTTCCTTTTTTGAGAGAAAATATGAGCTCCAGGTAAGCTACAAGCCTGGGCTGTAATCTGGGCCAGAATCCCAGAGCGTGACGTTTGGGCTGGATTCGGCCCAGTTACTTGGGCTGGGTTTCTGCTCGGTGATGTAACTATTGGGCTTAATTAATTTCCTGCTTGGATTCCAAAGAGTCCTGGGCCATGAGCACACATCGAGGAATTGGAGGGTCCAGTTTACGAATGGTGCGATGGAAAAAAGAAAAAGAGAAAGGACATGGCATACGGCACACATGGCAGCAAGTGACGATGCTTAGGGGTGGAAACGAGGCTCGGCTTGCAGTGGCTCGCAATAAATTAGGCTTGGTTTGACTCGTCTTAGTTAGAGAAACAAGCTAAAACTAGAGCTCAGCTCGGCTCGTTTCCTGGCTCGAGCCAGCTTGCAAGCCTTCCGGTTGATATACATATTCATATATATTTTGTAATTATTAAAAAAAAGCAGGAATAAATCATCAACATGTAAAATTTAAATAAGTTTATATATTTAATTCTTCAAAATCTTAATGATAAATTTCAAGTTGACAAATAATAACTCCATAAAAAGTAAAATAATCAATATAAACACACGACGGTATAGGCTCGCAAGCCAAAACAAGCAGCTCGTGAGCCAGTTTGGGCTCGGCTCATTTAAGCTAAAAAGGAGACTTAGGCTTGGCTCGTTTGGCTTACGAGCCGAGCCAAGCCAACCAAGCTCACGCCAAGCCCGAGCTGAGCTCACGAGCTTGAGCTTTTTTTTCCACCATTAAAGATGCTAGACAACGTCATTGCTGGTCCAGCTCCTCCTCTCATCTGAGGTCAATCTTTTGTTTACAAGCAGTAACGACTTATTGGTAACTAAAAAATAATTTATGAGTAGAAATTTTTACATATATATTTTCCATGAGTTAAAATTTAATACTGAAAAGGGAACTATATTAAAAAAATCATCAAAACCAAATTTTAAAATTCACATCTTGACGACGGCGTATAAGCTATAAGGCAAACGCTGAGGCTGTCAAATCCTACTGTAGTTTTTGGAAGAGTGTGCTGACTGATGAGCTAGATATGTATATGTAGGCACTGTTCACATGTACACTATGTAAAAAATGTGACTTATACTGTAATTCATAGCGATCATTTCAAGCCATATTTCTTTTTTTTTAACTTATGGTGAAGTAAAAAAAGATTTAGAGTTTAGATAAATTAAATCTTATTATATCAAGTGTTTGCGATGAATAATTTTATTAGTTCATAAAAATATCACATTTTATCGTGCATCCATCCGACGATCCCAATCAAGCCACCTAGGGTCACCAGACAATCCGATCCGCTGTTGCGAGAAGTCGAGGATAGGGACAGAGGGAGACGAGTTCTCAGACAAGCTAGAACAGCTTCTCTATATATATATATGCACATGCTTCAAGAGGGAGAAAGAGTGGCCGAATAATTGACAGAGAAAATGAGAGAGGATGATAAAATTGAGCTATTTATTTTAAGAAACCTCCCAAATAACCCACTATGTTGCAACACTCGTCCTTATGATTTATCTCTACTAACTACATGATAAAAAAATAACTTAGACTGTATTCGGCAGCAGCACAACAAGAGGAAAACTCTATCTCTTTTGACGAGCACGCTTTCCGAACTGATAAACGAAGTATTTTTTAAAGAAAATTTAACAAAAAGTTTGCTTAAAAAACATATTAAACTATTTTTCAAATATAAAATATTTAATATCAATTATCATACGTTAGTACGTGTTTCACCTAATTTTGTATATCTTCTCATCCCCCCTCTCAAACACATCCTTACACGTCCTAGTGACGCCTCTGTATTATTATCGATGATGTTGTCGTGCATAGTACACGCGTCTGCAAATAAATTACCCCTGCATTCATCATATATGCACGCACGGCACTACACATATACTCCTAGCAAACAGAACCGACCACACTACTCCCTGCCATAAATTAACCCGGCAAGTTTGCAAGTTAACCTTGCAAAAGTACATCAGTACACAATCACTAGATTTGTTTGCTTACAGTGAGAGCTTGCATGCAACTATGCAAGTACTTAGTACGACTGATCACATCGAGATGAGATGATGCGAGATGCACGTCAAGTGTAGTGGCTTTAATCCCGACATCTCGTTTTCAATCCCCAACACGCTCATATCTCTTCTTAAAATAGTATTTGGAGGGATGTCAATCTCCCTCCAAATCTCCTTTTTTTTTTTTAAGATGAGATGATGCAACCTGATGCATGATCGATGAAAAAAGTGATCATGTAAAAAGCTCATCTATGTCGATATCGATCGACCAAAGTTGTCCAAAGCTATATGTCATGTCACCATGCGATGCATATCATATGCTCGATATCATCCTTTTCTGCATTTTTCAGGGACATGATCTTGTTGGAGAGATGTGCTGCTAGTACTATTTTTATTTGCATACAGGTCGTAGTACTAGATTGATGATCATATAGAGATGAGATCTCCCTTTTTTTTTCTTTCTTTAACTTGGCTTGCTTCCACTCCAAGCATGTGTACCATGTAACATGCATCCAAAGTGTCGTTTCATCATCCATGATGGAGGAAAAGCTAGCTAGCCAACAATTTGAGGATGCATAACATGTTTTTTTTATATATAAAGAAAAGCATAACGGGATGTAGTTATTGTTGTTTTTAAAAAAGTTTTATATGAATTTTACCAAAAGCTAATTAATTATCTCTGGCAATATGTGGTTACCATACCTTGTTAATTATAGTGTGTTGTGCCTTTTTTTTTAAGTTGATGTAAAATAAAGTCATGCATGATTGTTGCAATCTGTTTTGCAGAAATTGTAGTTAGGCAAAATATGTTATCAAGACGTATCATTCTCTCTATATATTAATTATAGTATTACCGTTTGCATTGCACCAAACAAGATTTGCCATACAACATATTGTAATACCAAACGGAGCGACATTCGATTGACAAAGATCAACCTATGATTTTGGAGATATTCTGCTTTTCTGATTTGAGAAAGACAAGCACTACATATAACTATAACTTGGAAGCATACTCCTGCCAACCTTAGATGGAAATATCTGTCATTGAGGGAGCATACTATTTAGTTTTATTTTTCCAATCAAGCCGTAGTTATGTAAGTCGCAAACATTCATCCTGCAATCTAGCTCTATATTATTTGGCCATAATATTTTGAGCAAAGATCGGGATAAATTCCATTATAAAAAAAGGGAGCCAAATAAATAGAAAAGTTAGAACATGTGCCAAAATTTTGTGCACATATGAGTGAGCTTTCTAGGAATTTAGGAATTTAGTGAGACTAGAGATGTGTCGCTAGTCTCCGTCTCTTTAAGAGGAGACACAACAACCGTGGTGTGACCGTGTTGTAACCGTGTTGTATGTGTGCGCGTATTCCGTATAATAATAATAATAATAATAATAATAATAATAATAATAATAATAATAATAATAATAATAATAATAATAATAATAATAATAATAACTGGAACAGCTAAGCTAAGCTGTACGTATGTACTTACACTTCTGCGAATCATGCATGATATTAAAATTACCAACAGTACGTACCGAAATAGATATCTTAGGTACGATACTGGATACATGTACTGCACACAGTAGCTTAGATATTTTTCAATGCTATTAGCTCCCTCTGATGATCGATCAGCTAGCTCCTACAATTATTATATATAATTAACTAGCTAATAACAAGAGAGATCGATCGATTGATATTCTTTAATAATTATATTCCATCCATCCACATGATTAGTTAGACTTATTTCATATTTAAGTTTTTCTAAATAAGTTGTTTCTATTTGTAGTCTCTATACATATAAGATTTAAATAGAGGTAAATTAAATGTTTGATCAGAATCCGATGAGTCATCTTAATACTTACTAAGCATTCAAATGATTAGCCCCAATCCTATAAATTGAGGGCAAAATGGTCATTTTCACATAACACTAATTTTTCCTAACTAACCTAGAACGTCCTCCTTTCTGGACGGAGGGAGTATTAGTTGCATGTGTGCATATACATTCCTTAATTTTCGTTACATGCAACCTGAGTTAATTTCTCTTTGATCTTAGCGACAAAAATAATAGGTGTAACTTTTTTGTAATGAGGAAGTAATTAATTAGTAACAATAGAGATCGATCGATCTAAAGCTTGACATAGCAGCATATGATCAGTTGTATAGGAAGTACTCTAGCTAGCTAGTACATGAACACTGTTGATCGATCTAAATATGCATGCATGAATTAATTGATTGATTGATTTCATGTACTATTATTTGTTGGAGGTACACCCTATAGCTAAAGCCAGTACTGATAATATATGTATGAATGTACAACCACAAGAACAGAGTCCAGGGTACTACTGCACATGCATGCTTAATTTTCTTGCTAATTTTGCACGGCAAATGTAATGGTTTGTGAGTGGATGCAGTGGTGAAGCCAATAGATC